GAACAATTTCAAGCTCTTGTTTATCCGCTCACACTCACGCACGTCCGGTTTCCAAACACGCGAAGCCATTTTCAAGGCCACGTATGCACGTTGCCCCAAGTAACCGGTTGCAGCGGCCAACCTTGGCACACAATTATTGTACATGCATCCTTAAGGGACACAAGGGCCTAAGGGCCTAAGGCTAAGGTCTATATGTCTATAAGGTCTTCGGGAGACTCGACCCTCAACTTACCCTCAACACTCAACACGGACGGACGACTCAACACGCATGACGCATGACTCATGACGCATGACAGACTGACCTTTGCATCTCACAGTCTGTCTCGACTCTCAATTTGGAATCATGAATGAATTATCTTCATGAACCGAATCGAATCATGGCCCTTATAGCTTGAAAAGTTAATTTATAAGTCTTAAGCCGAGCCTTATGCCTGGACTGGTGCCGGTGCCCTACTACTACCTACGACCTACTACGCCTCACGCCTCACGCCGCCTTAGGCGGCTTACGCCTGGATCCCCTGGAGACTTAACATCGTAACATCATCGTAATCATATAAGTCAGAGATCACTGAGATCACACGGTCACAGGCCACAGGTTTATTGCACATAATTTAGCTGAGAGGTGAAGCCGGACTCGAAATATTTGCAGCAGGCACATCGCCGCATCGCTGTCGCATGCAACGCATGCAAGCAAAGATGAAGGAAGCAGTGCTTACTTGATTCCTTGACTCCAACGATCCCTCGTGCCTGGTGCCTGGCCCTACTGCTGCTACCTACTACTGCCACGGCTCTAGACCGCTGGCCGCTGGCTTCAATCAACTTGCGATTGCCATTGCGCGCTGCGCACGGCACTCTGTACTGAGTAACTGAGACTGACACTGAGACTGAGACTAAGCCTGAACCCCGAGCCCGAACCCCAGCGTCCCGGGACCCCATTAGGCTCTCGGACCCTCCCGCCTCACTGCCTCAGGCCTTGGCCCTATCCTATCCGCCAGCCTATCCTATCCGCCCAATCCTACCAAAACACAACCCTTCACCGGCCCTTCACCTTCACCCGGACCGGCTTAAACCCGGATCAGTACTGCCGTACTGCTGCCAACACTAACACTCCTAACCTAACACTACTACCACTATTAATATTCTAAAGTCACTATACACCCTCCTAACTGCTAACTCCTAACCTATACACTACCACTACACTACCAACATCCCCGTTTGTCCCGCCCATCTAGTATTAGTAGCATTAGCATAGCCCATTTCAGTCTAGCAGCGCGATTTCCTTGGCGTGCACAAGCTTGAACTTGCGAGCGTTGTACTCCAACTTTGCCGAATCTGTCTCATGTAGCTGTTTAGCCAACTGCTGCCGCACAGGACAAAACTGTTTCGCTGGCAATCGTACCAAATCTAGAAGAAGATGTGGAAAGCTTCGAACTCTCAGCAGGACTCTTCTGTGGAATGCAGAAAAAGACTGCATGATGCATTTGGCTGCAAAGCCACACAGCCACGTCCTTAGAATGAGGCAGAGGCAAAGAGCGACCGGCAATGAATGGTGACGGTGATGGTGCGATCGGCGATCGGTGATGGTGATGTCTCTCTGGTATTCGGTATTCGCAATGTGACAATGTGACAATCTGGTTCTGCGCGGCCGCCCGGCCCACGGCCCACTGTTGCTAATGGCCATGGGATCTGCTGCACATGACATACTGTACGACTGTACGAGTCTATGGTCTATGAGTCATGAGTCTATGAGTCTATGGGCCTATACGAGTATGAGGCTATAGAGTCTATAGTCTATAGTGTATAGTATAGTTAGTATAGTGACAGTATATTAGTATATAGAGTATAGAGTCTAGAAGAACCAGGCAACTGCCCCAACTGCGCAAACGCAAACTGACCAACAGGCTCAACCGAACAGGCCAAGAGAGCAACGATGAGCAAAGGTTGCATGTGCATTAATGGACTCTTCACGGCTCCGGGACAGACTGAGACTGAGACTGACTGACTGACGGTGAGACGGCGAAAAACAATATGCATTGAATCATGTATTGTCATGGCATTGTCACAGTGTCTCATTGCCTCAGGGCTAATTATAACGGCTAACAACTGCTGAGACTGCCGACTGCTGAGACTCTTGAGTCGTTGATCCCACCGCTGGCTAGTCGACTAGTACAAGCCAAGACTCGATTCATCAACAGGAAGCACACGTGTAGCACGTTCCACAGCAGTTGAAAGTTCTCTGCTGTCCAAGACCTGTTCGAACTCACGCAAGAAAGCTTCCGCTCTTCCCTGGACCAAGCGGCACAAAGCGTTCCCATGCTTCCGTACACTCTCATCTGCATGCGCTTGCTTCAGGAAGGCACTGAAGTGAACAGTAGGCTGCTTCGAAACATTCATTACCGCAACCACTAGCCACCACAATTTGTCTGCCGTGCAAGACAGAGTGGACCGTCGGAATTTCCCAATCTTCTTCGAATACGATGATGATTCCTGCAAGGACAGCCCGTCGACAGCATCCAGCCAGCCTTCCGATGCCTTCGGAACTGCCTTCGGTTTCGATGATGATGATAATGATGATGACTTTGCGGCAGCGGACTTTGCGGCTGACTTCGCTCTCTTCTTAGGCCTTGGATCCTGGCCATCCGGTTGAGTCGATGGCTCTGCCACTTCGTCCCACACTGTCGCAGTCACGGGTCCACACCGGTCCTCGGCAATGGCTTGCTTCAAGACTGCTTGGAGCACAGGTTGCAGTTTTTCCTGACCGCACGCAATGATTCGTTTTTCCGTCTCGTCGGTGGAGTTCCAACGTCCAGAGTCACATCGCGGGAACAATTTCATGACCTTCTCCTTCGCGGATGATGCCCCGTGACTTAGACACCACTGCCGGTAGAGACTTCTGCCTAACCCTCGCACCGTGTTGGTGAACACTGCAAGTGACGAATAATATCGCCACTGGCGCAAACCCTTGAGTTCTTGGTCGGCAAGCGTCATCGTGCCTAAAGTGATTAAATGTGCAAGATGTTCAAAGCAGTCTGAATTGGCATAGTACACGGGCGCCAATCCCAGGTGAGTGGCGACATATGCCTGAATGATGCCCCGAGCCCCGACCTCATTGCTGCCTCTGTCAGTCGTTGACAGATACCAGATTTCACCATTGTCGAAGATGGCATCGGAGGACCTCGGCTGAAAAAACATCTACCGAAACACAAAGCTTACAGCCTGACAGCTTTACAGGCTTTACAGCACAGCACTGTCAGAATCCAATTTGCTTGGCTTATGGCTTCGACTCCCTTCAGTCCCTCCAGCCACCAGCCCTTCAACGAATTCAGGCTGCATCCGAGGGACGCTTTGGCAAATTTTGCATGGGCATCGTCCAGGGACATGCCGGCGAGACTATCTGCCTGCTCTGCCATGAATTGCTCGGTTAAGGACTCCTTCCTTTCATTCAGCTCGCGCCATGTTGGACAGCCCAGGGATTCAAGCATCTTCAACGACATACCCACCGTGGCCAAAGATGTGGCCTCTTGCACTGGAATGACGTCTGAAATGTACTTAATGAATGTTGCCTGTTCCAAGATCGAGTCGCTGTCTGAATCTGCACTGACAGGCACGCTTGTGACACCACACTCAAGTTCTAAATGGCACTGCTTCAGTTTGCTGTTAGTTGCGTCCTGACGAAAAGCAACTACTACGATTCGATACACATCCTCATCAGAGCCATCCCCGTAGAACATCTCTCTTCGCAAGGAGCTGAACCACATTCGAGCAGACGCGACCAAAGCCGCTCCAGCTTTGATCTCACATCCTGGCCATCATGTCACTGAACATTGAACACTGCGGAGACTGCGGAGACTGCACTGAACACTGAACACTCAACAACACAAGATCTAGCTGTAGCCTTCAACTTCAACGGCAACGCTGCGCTGCCGCTTCGGTTTCGCAATTCCACGGGCCTACGAGGCCCAGGCTACGGCTACGGCTATACAGAGTTTCCCGTGGGCCGGTAACCGGCAACCGGCAACTCTAGTGCTGATGACCTAACACGAACACGACTCACGACACACCAGCGTGTCAACACGTCCGAACCCGAAGACCGAAGACCGTACCAGGAAACTCAGGAAAGTTCAATGTCCGAAGATCTGGCTATACTCCATAGTCATGTACGAAATCTGTGCCACATCCTGATGCTGATCTGAAACTGACTGTCTGAGACAGCTACCGACTACCGATACTGATAGGATACAAAACAACAACGTATGTCGCAACATCTGAAACATCCGCTTACTTGTAAAACTTCCGGATCGGAACACCCAGGACTGACATGTGTTGCAATAGAATTCTCGAATTCTGGCGGTGATAACGGTGGTACCAGTGGTAACAGTCTGAACAGGCCGTGCGCGGGCGAACAGAGCCCAGAACTATCCAGAACACCGCAACCCGGCCCGTCCCCGGAGCCCAGAACCCAGAAACCCCAGGGCGTAACGGTCGTAGGTTAGGACAGGACCGACGGTTGAACCATTAGGGCCAAGGCCAAGGCCCCTAGAGCACAGCATCTGAGGTATCTACGGTTACGGTTGAAGACTTGAAGACCCTGAGAGCCTGAGGCCTGAGAACTGAGAACCTTAGCGACATGATCACCGGTACTGGTGGTGCTGCTGCAATGCTGTAATGATCTGCTGGATGACTGATGACTGGCGCCTGAGGATTCTGAGGATACTCAAGCAAAAGACAAGAGACCTGATGCCTGACGCCTGCCTGACATGCAGGTGACCTGACAGCACAACCTGTCAGCTTGGCAGTAGGCTGAGTCAACCTCAAATTTCAGTCTCCAGTCCTGGATAAGTTGTAGGCCGGCATTCAGCCGACAGACCAACAGACCGACCGACAGAACGTCAAGACCAGTGCCAATGTATGCCAATGTAAACAGACTAATACTAACTACCATTCAAGGACCATCATTACAGAATCAGACAGAAACACACACCAAAAAAACATACAAAGAATCAACTCAAACAGCAGTGGGACAGTGGGACAGTCTGGAACAGTGAATCAATCAAGTGAATCAAGGGAGCAGCTACTGCATTAACGGCCATAAACAAATAAACAATCAGCATTAATGCGACAAAGCTTCTCGACACAGTCCATCTGGAAACGTCTTGTTGAATCAGGAGCTGCAGGTGCTCTGAAGAACAGTGCCCCAAGTTTCTCTTGATGGCAAGCTGAATGATACCACTGGCGGTGAGCCAGCCGCGATCGCAGAAGATGTCACCATCAGAACCCTGTTGGAGTTTACGAGCCGTCCCTCTCCTCTCGATCAGCAAAGTCTTTAATGAATTTATCTTCTGCTGCAACACAGAAATCTTCTCATCCTTCTTGACACCAGACAGCTCCAGCTTCTTGCATTTCTTCTTCTCCTTTTTTAAAGACAGCCGCAACGGGCCGACGCCGCCGCCCTCCCCAGCGCGGGTTCCACTGCGGCTGCCACTGCGGTCCAGCTGCTGCTTCAAGGAAGTAATTTGAAGATCCCTGTCAAACAATTTCTGCACAAGCTCCTCTCGGGACAATTGATCGAACCACGGAACAACCGGAACAACTCCACCCAACCCTACGCAGGCCAAGGATCCATCACCAGGAATCGTACTGCTACTGCCACTGCAGCTACTCAATCCGGAATCTGCTCGATTCAGCAAAGGCTGCTGTAGCTGCAGCTGCAGCTGTTCGTGTTCCTCTATCAATCGATTTTCAAGGCACGCCAACACATCTGCCCAGAAAGCAAATGACATGTCCATCCCAAGATATTGCAGCAACATTGGGATAACATCCAGATTGTAATGCTCCACCTGACGGTCGAGCTGTACCTCATTATCATCGCCATTGCTGCTGGCTGCCGTCAAATTCCGAAATGACTGGGCTTCATCCCTTTGCAGAAAATTGACCAAACAGCGCTTGCCTTTAACCCCTTGTGACATGGACTGCTGCACCGAAGAGGAAATCTTCATAAGATCCGCCTTGGAAACTGTAGCATGTGCCACACTGCAGGGGTGGTCTGGCGAGGCCCGGCACAACTGACAGATGTACCACTTCAGCAGGGGCGGTGCTTTATGGCTCATCGTCTCGAAACTACGCCTCTCCCCCAATGAGAAGCATGCACGAGAGACAGCTGGCCGACTCCGAAAAACAGTCTTGATGAAGTCATCCCGAACTGTCATGGAAGAAGGATCTGCAATCCAGTTCTGTGTCACTTCACACTCACTAAATTATTCACATAGCCAAGATCTGATCTGTTTAGGAGTCAGCTTGTGCCCAAACACAACGGTCAAGTTGTTGGGCTTGACAGACAACACGAGGTGCACCTCAATTGAAATCATGTCACTTCCCACTGCCGAACAGGATTTAGTGGATTTGCAAAAGCGTCTGGCAGAAGATTCTCGGAGGCCTGAGAACCAAATCGCAACGATCCGGGTGATGCTACGTTAGCAACCCTGCCGAAGTACGCAAACAGAATCATGCAGTTGGGTATACAACGCGGGTTCCCTAGGCTCCCAACATCGATTCCGGTCATTCAACACGAGTTTTTCCTTCCAATGCAAACAAAATCAATGACGATTTTGTACTAAGATTGATTGTTGCATTAATGCCCAACCCAAATTTCAATTCACATGTTTAGCATTCCGAAAGATGTTTTAATCGTCACTTATGAAGGTTTTGCAGACAAATGTCTATATTTTTTTCCATGATATTTGTTTTTTTTTCCACCGGATCTTTCTGAACTGCTAAGTTTGGCTGATAATATCGGATTGTTTTGTCTCTGGAATCGCCTTGTCCAGCCTTCCCGGCCCCCGACAAATCTGGCCAATCTCCCTCCGACACACACGCTCAGGACCCCCAACTCCTGAACAGACCGTTTGAGCGCGTCAACTCCTGAATGGTCCCCCCCAGACCCCGGGACCACCCGCCATGGCGGACAGCACGTTACGAAACGTTACCCCCTAACACGATATTCAGCGTGCTTTATATCACTGCTCTCATTCCAAGGCCCCGTCCGCCGCTTCCCGAAAGCCTGACAGGGCTGGTTTAGGCATGGGGCTGTTGGAGCTTTGGGGTTGATTTTAAGCTGCCGGGCTGACAGGTCTAAGGTTCAACTAGGGGTTTAGGGTTGAAGCTTCAAGGCTTATATATGATCCCGGTTCGGGGTGTTAAGCGATCTCCCTCGCAGAACGCAAGGTTTGGAGTCTAAGTTTTTAGGGTTTAGGATGTCGGGTTTCGGGTTTAGGGTTTAGGGTTCTCCATGTAGAAAGGCCTCAACACACATGGGAGAGTCAGATTCCCTACAGAACTCCAGTCCGAGTAGTGATGGCCTTCAGCCACAAGCCCTGACTTTCTTTTTCTTTTCATATAGACCCCTGATTCATAAATCCCCGTCTGTGAATCAGGATTACACAAGGGATGTTAATACCGAAGCCCACAAAAACAGGTGTCCACTAATCAAGACTACATTATGAGGCATGCCCGTGTACTAAACCCTAACACTGTAAACAGTTAATTAACTAATGCGCTAGCTCCTACTCTACTACATTCCATCAAATATTACATAATACGTCACTTCACATGCCCAGTATCCCATCCGCCTACAAACCTTAGATAACCAATCCCGAAACCTCGAACCCGAAACCCGAGGTATTCAACACAGAACCTTAAACCTTGACAATGTAAGCCTGCAACCCCCCCCCCCCCCCCCCCCCCCCCCCCCCCCCCCCCCCCCCCCCCCCCCCCCCCCCCCCCCCCCCCCCCCCCCCCCCCCCCCCCCCCCCCCCCCCCCCCCCCCCCCCCCCCCCCCCCCCCCCCCCCCACCCCCACCCCCACCCCCCGCCCCCGCCCCCACCCCACCGCGAGCCTGCCACCCTGACTAAGAACCCTCGCCCCGACCGGATACGGACCCTGAGCCTAGACCCTGAACCCACATGGGAGTTTCCGAAAATTAGGGGTACCTTGTTTGGGGTCCTTAGAATAAGGATCCTACTATTTAGGGTACTATAGTAGGGTCCCCTATTTTCGGAAACTCCCACATACCTTGAACCCTGAAGCCTACCTTTGGCTCGGCTTGGTTGAATGCGACGGGCGACAGACCGGGTTGCATTTCACCAGCTCTTGTTCAATGTCTTCGTTGGCGCCAGACTGAACGAGCTGTCCAGACCATATACCTTAAATTATAATAGGGCCCCTAATATGATTTAAGGTATATTCCCTAATTAAGGGGTTTTGGAAGGTCTGGGTGCTTGCAAGCCCCTGCTCACGAGCAGACGCCATGTCCAGGCGTTTACACACACACACACATGGCAGGGATCCGTCCCCAACATGACAAGAAAGTAGGCCCCATGTTCCCAGTGGTCCCTTCCGAGAAACGAACTTCAGATCAGCACAACCCTTAAACTCAAGATTCCCTACGCTAAACCCCTATTCAAAAAAATTGCTTCGTAAACCCTAATCCCTAAACCCTAAACCCTAATCCCTAAACCCTAAACCCTGAACATTGCCCTCATTCCTGGCCTTGGCTTTAGGGTTTGGGACGGTCAGATGCTTTGGAGAGCGACGAGGGGAGCAGCTAGGCGATGTCCTTGGGCACGGTTTAAGGGTTTAGGGTTTAGGGTTTTGGGTTTAGGCTTTAGGGACAAGGATTTTCGGTTTAGCGTTAGGGTCAAGGGTTTAGGGTTCAGCGTTTAGGGATTGAGGCTACGGGTTTGGGATCTAGGGTTAACTTCGCGTTCGAGATTCACACTTCAGGGTTGGAGTATAAATTTTAGGGTTGGGGTTTAAGTTTAGGCTTTAGGGTTTAGGGGTTTAAGGTTGGGGGCTTGAAGTGTTGACTTCAGGTTTGGGGTATGTGGGGGTTGGGACTTGAGGCCTTGCGGTGTGAGGTAAGAGTTTGATGAGGTGGTGCTCTGTCCAGGCCGGTCAAGGCTGCTTTAAGTGCTTTTAGACTCCCTGGTGCTTAGTAGCATATCGGGGAATGGATCCTTATAGTAGTCCCTAAATACTCCCCAATAATAATCCCATAACCCATTCCCATAGAACCCTATTATAGATCCCTTATAGACCCCTTTAAGGATCCCTTTAAAGGAGCCCCGTTCCCCCATTCCCTACTAAAAACCAGACAGTAGAGTCTGTCGAGTTTGGGTTTCAGGATTTTGGGGGTTTAGGGTTTAGTTGAGAACTTAGGGCTTTGAGATTAGCGTACAGGGTAACTTAAGCTTTCTAAGATTCAGGGGTATATATTATATGTCAGCCTGGAAGTATCCTACATCGTAAACTGTCCAGATCCGGATTGGCTCTCAGTTGAACACGCAAGTCCCCAACCAACCTTTATGAAACCTTTGAAAATGAAAAGAGGCCTTCACCATCGCTCACGGCAAAGCCGAATCTTCGCCGGAGACCTGTGAACCAGAAATCATCCCCTGCCTCGAAGAAAACCGTAAACCCAAACCAACCCAGCTGGAAACTCGAAGGATCCGGAGTCCCAAACCGAATATCGGGGCGTTAACAATCAGAATAGGGTTTGGGGGCCATTATACGATACTGATAATCAGGCACCCCCCCAAAAAATAGTATAGGTAACTATGAAGGCCCCGATATTACGACCCTAAACCCGAAACCCGGAACCTGAAACCCGGCCCCAAGTAGGGGAGCCACCTTCCGGAGGGGTTCGGAGAGGGAGAACGGACTCTCGGTGAGCCGTCGTGGGAGGAGGTCCTTAGCAGCCGAAGCTTTTATCTTCGGGTTTTGGGTTTAGGCGCTACGAGGTTCAGAGGTTAAGGTTAGGGTGTAGGGTTTAGGGTTTAGAGCTTTAGGGTTGAGGTTTCAGGTTTAGGGTTTAGGCTACTCGGCAAAGAGGTTCGGCTTCGGGCTTGGGGTTTAGGGTTTCGGGTTTACGCTCCAGAGCTTGGGTCTTCATTGGGACCGGACTTGCTACGGTTTCACAAGCTCTTGCGGGGTTTAATCAGGGTTCGATAATGCAAGCTTTATCAGGGTCTGTACGGGTTTGGAGGTTAAGGCTTCAGAGCGTTCAAGCCTTAAGGGGCTTAGGAACGACTGCGGCTTCATTAGATGTAGATCTGCTTCTGGTGTTTTATTTGTGAGAAGTAGCAAAGTCTGTGTTTCAGACATATGGGCCCAATACAGGGGCCATAGTCATCAGACTAGGATGTTGGCGGTATATTGATAGTGTACCTACTACTTATATAAAGGAACCCTAAACCCTAAACCCCAAACCCTAAACCCTAAACCCCAATCCCTGAGGAATGATATTCATCATCATCCAGGCTTCTGTACTATCGGGGCCTTAATAATTAGAATAGGGTCTTGAGCCTTGATACTATAGTTATAATAAGGAACCCCCAAAATAGTAAAGGTAATTCTGAGCTGGTCTTTCCGGGGCTCGGATTTTTCGTCGTCTTCGGGGTTTAGGGTTTAGGGCTCGGGGTTTAGGGTTTAAGGTTTTGGGGTTTGGGGTTTAGGGGTGGGGGTGGGGGTGGGGGGTGGGGTGGGGGTGGGGGGTGGGGGGTGGGGGTGGGGGTGGGGGTGGGGGTGGGGCTTGGGGTGGAGGGTTTGGCCCATTTTAAGAACCGGAGCTTGAGTAGTACTGGTTTCGGGGAGAACGTTTTCGTTGGTGCCACGGTCCCTGGCGTACTGGTCGCGCCCTAAGGATTTAGGGTTTTGAGGTTCGAAAGGCGCTGTGAGTTGGATGTAAGTCGGCTTTTCTGCAACGCAGGGTGCTTGCAATCCACTTTCTTCCTGGATCCACTGCACGAACTGCGAATCGTCCCTCACCCCTAAACCGTGACCCCTAGGCTCAAATCTTAGACCCTAAACCCTGACTGGGTCATAATCCCGAAGCTGAGAAGATCCATGGCATGGTCCGAGGCCAGCACGTCGTCTGCCGGCAATCGACGCCCTGGGCGATTGTAGGAAAAGGCAAAAGTCCAGAGCTGGGGTAGGGTTTAGGGTTTAGGTTCCAGGGTCCAGGTTATAAGGTTTGGGGTTTGGGATGGAGGTGGAGGGCGTAGGGTTTAGGGCTAGTTTCACTGGCTTGAAGCCAAGTCTTGTAAGCCCCCAGGGTTCTGACAGCCCTGAATCCTAAGCCCTGCGCCCGAAAACCCGATGAACTTTTCAGCCTAAAACCCCAAACTCCCTAAACCCTAATCCTGAGCGCGAA